CCAGTGGAGTTCTGTTGGTTTCTCTTTTGGGCCTGTCTTGTAGCAGGAGGCTTCTGGGAACATGTCTGGCTCTGTTGATTTGTTTCTTTATTTCCTTGTGTGGGTATCGTAGTTCCCATGGGAAGGAGACCCTGGAAGAATTCCACCATGATTTCAACAGCTTCCACCCCACCATCAACCTCAGCCTGGACCAATCTACATGGGAGGTCCACTTCCTAGACACCACCGTACAAATAAGCGATGGCCACATTAACACCACCCTATACTGAAAACCCACTGACCGCTATGCCTACTTTCATGCCTCCAGCTTCCACCTTGGTCACACCACACGATCCATCGTCTACAGCCAAGCACTGAGGTACAATCGCATCTGCTCCAACCCCTCAGACAGAGACCAACACCTACAAGGTCTTCACCAAGCATTCTCAAAACTACGATACCCACACAAGGAAATAAAGAAACAAAATCAACAGAGCCAGACGTGTACCCAGAAGCCTCCTGCTACAAGACAGGCCCAAAAGAGAAACCAACAGAATTCCATTGGCCATCACCTACAGTCCTCAGCTTAAACCTCTCCAACGCATCATCAGTGATCTACAACCCATCCTGGACAACGATCCCTCACTTTCACAGACCTTGGGAGGCAGGCCAGTCCTCGCCCACAGACAAGCTGCCAACCTTAAGCATATTCTCACCAGCAACCATACACTGCACCATAACTCTAACTCAGGAACCAACCCATGCAACAAACCTCAATGCCAACTCTGCCCACATATCTACACCAGCAACACCATCACAGGACCTAACCAGATCAGCTACATCATCACCGGCTCATTCACCTGCGCGTCCACCAATGTTATATATGCCATCATATGCCAGCAATGCCTCTCTGCTATGTATGTATTGGCCAAACTGGACAGTCACTACGCAAGAGGATAAATGGACACAAGTCAGATATCAGGAATGACAATATACAAATACCTGTAGGAGAACACTTCAGCCTCCCTGGCCACACAATAGCAGATGTAAAGGTAGCCATCTTACAGCAAAAAAACTTCAGGACCAGACTCCAAAGAGAAACTGCTGAGCTCCAGTTCATTTGCAAATTTGACACCATTAGATCAAGATTAAACAAAGACTGTGAATGGCTATCCAACTACAGAAGCAGTTTCTCCTCCCTTGGTGTTCACACCTCAACTGCTAGCAGAGCACCTCACCCTCCCTGATTGAACTAACCTCATTATCTCCAGACTGATTTATACCTGCCTCTGGAGATTTCCATTACTTGCATCTGAAGAAGTGAGGTTCTTACCCACGAAAGCTTATGCTCCCAATACTTCTGTTAGTCTTAAAGGTGCCACAGGACTCTCTGTTGCTTTAGGGACGTGCATGCAAGGTGGAAACTGCAGAATTTCTCCAAACCGTTATCACTTAGGCGAGGGGTTCTCAAACTGGGGGTCGGGACCCCTCAGGGGGTCTTGAGGTTATTACATGTGGGGTCATGAGCTGTCAGCCTCCACCCCAAACCCTGCTTTGCCTGCAGCATTTATAATGCTGTCAAATATATTAAGAAGTGTTTTTAATTTATATGGGAGGGGGGTCACAGTCTGAGGTTTGCTGTGTGAAAGGGGTCACCAGTACAAAAGTTTGAGAACCCCTGACTTAGGCCGGCTTGAAAGCATTGGCCTATAGCACTTAATCTGGGCTGTCTGAAGGGTCGGGCAGATACTCCTCCATTTGTCACTTCTGGGAGACTTTGTAGCCATAAGAGCTAGAGATTTTGTTTTTTTTAAGCAACCGAGGGTCCTGTGGCACCTTTGAGACTAACAGAAGTACTGGGAGCATAAGCTTTCGTGGGTAAGAACCTCACTACTTCAGATGCAAGTAATGGCATTACTTGCATCTGAAGAAGTGAGGTTCTGACCCACGAAAGCTTATGCTCCCAGTACTTCTGTTAGTCTCAAAGGTGCCACAGGACCCTCTGTTGCTATTTACAGATTCAGACTAACATGGCTACCCCTCTGATACTTGTTTTTTTAAATTAAAGCTTAGGTGGAGCACAAGACCCAACCACCCACAACAGGTACCAGCTCCTGTCTCAGCATAAACTGGGCCCCTTCCAAAGTAAATGCCTGGCCCCACTCCAGTTGAGCAGGGGTGGGAACAACGGGGGCAAAACTTTCTTAAGCTTTGCATTAGGGTCTGGTTCACGTTGTGGAACGTAATGCATTAATATTAACTTCCCCATTCGCTTCCCAGAGACAAGGAACAACACAGAGCGACCACTTGCCCCTTACTTTAAGAGGCCTCGCCTGACCATTTTAAACAGTAAACTGAGCAGCAGAAATACACCTTAGAGAAAAATACCGGCTTTGCTAAGGGAACTAGGGTTTCCCTAAAGTGTCCCTAATTAAACAGAGCATTGTTATCGATTTGCATCCAGGAGGTCTGGCAGGCAATTTCACTAGCCTCCCCAGGCTGCAGCAGCCAACTGTGGGACCCTGCAGGAAAGGTCAGAGCAGGGTTAGGAAGCGGTGGGCGGGTGAATGCTAAGACCCAGGCGTGCCCCACATTTTTGGGTGAGCCAGGACCGTCCTGCGAGTGTTTTTTTGCGGAAAGGCGCCATTGCTGTCACACACCCAGCCGCATCCGGGCCAGACTCTTACCGAGGGCTTGGGGGAGCACCAGGAGGGCGCATTGGCCACCGCAGCTGCTGGCCCGTAAGGAGCCTGCTCGGCAAACCAGGAGGTTTACCCA